ATATGAACATGGGTAGGTAACAGGAAAGGGAGCTACCAACCCAAGGCCGTAAAGCCCTACAGCATTCCGACAAAAATCAAGGGAAATAAATCTCTTTTCCAGGCGTTCTCAGTTCCTCTACAGGCTATCCTTCACTCGTTGACAGCATCCCGGCGCACAGGTCAGTGCCTTAAGGATTCAGACGACCGCCGATGACAACGATTTCAATCATGCCATCAAACGCTCACCCCTTGCGCTATCATTCACCCCACCCTGAATTGTGTGAGTGAAGGCACTGGGGAGAAGTGAAGCGGCCAGTGAGCGCGAGCGACGGCGAAAACTTGGCCATCAATCACGATCGTCAGCTACGATGTCACGTCGCCTCGCTCGCAATCGATTCCCTCTCATCGTTGCGGTGACGTCGACAAAGCTCATCTGATGCCACCACCTCTATGCGAGCAACAGCAGAAGCTGCTCCATTCCTGAACACCGATACCGACCCCGTCCCCCGAAATAACCCTCGGTTCCTCTGACGGGGTATCATTCGACTTGTGTCTCTGTCGCTGCTCTCTCTCAGTGTTGTCAGCGCGGCCAGCTGCCGTCATCCATCATTGCCAAGGCTGGCGATTTTCATTGTATGGGGTCTCCTGTTTCTACATGTTCTCTCGAACACTCTGTTGTCTCGGGCCTCCACCAAGTAGGCGTTCTCTCATCGTCAAGGCCCGTGGTTACGGTAATCGGCGAGGGAACGCGGGCGGCCAGCACTGTTTCCTATTGCTGCTGTGATTGCTGCGCCAGATTAACACAATATCGCATTTCGTAGCATTAACAGCATCATAGACTATACCCCTAATCGTTCGGCGGCTAATCGACGCTCGTAAAGACGACTATACTTGACAGCTTAGCGATGGACTTTGTTTGGGCCAAAGCAACAAAGGACCTGGGTAAGGAGGAGAAGTAACTGAGGTCCCAGGAGAAGAACGAAGACCTCCGATCTGGAATGAGCGTCGCCAGTGGAGAATTGGGGAATATCAGTTCTCAGACTTCTAGGACTGCGCCTGCTGACTTCTATCGCGCCTATCTCGTAGATTTAGCTGTCCGGAAACAGGGGGAGAAACACTGTTGAATTTTCCCTGAGATCAGTCGCCGCAAAATCCAAGGATACCTTAAGCGTTTGTCAGGGCAAGCATCAACAAACACTAACTCAGGAACGCCCACTCCAGCTCAAAAGAGAACTCTAATCAATTCCCAATGATCTGCTCGGTTCAGATGTAGTTGCTGTATAGGAGGACACGGCACACTACGCTACGATTCAAAAACATCGCGTCGCATCGGCGGCGCGGCTGACG